ATCTATCGAATGCAATATCTATCTATCTATCTATCTATCTATCTATCGTCTATCTATCTATGGAATGCTATATCTATCTATCTATCTACCTACCTATCTATGGAATGCAATATCTATCTATCTATCTATCATCTATCTATCTATCTATCTATCTATCTATCTATCTATCTATCGAATGCAATATCTATCTATCTATCTATCTATCGTCTATCTATCGAATGCAATATCTATCTATCTATCTATCTATCTATCTATCTATCTATCGTCTATCTATCTATGGAATGCTATATCTATCTATCTATCTATCTATCTATCTATCTATCTATCATCTATCTACCTATCTATGGAATGCAATATCTATCTATCTATCTATCTATCTATCTATCATCTATCTATCTATCTATGGAATGCAATATCTATCTATCTATCTATCTATGGAATGCTATATCTATCTATCTATCATCTATCTATCTATGGAATGCTATATCTATCTATCATCTATCTATCTATGGAATGCTATATCTATCTATCTATCATCTATCTATCTATCTATCTATCTATCTATCTATCTATCTATCTATCTATCTATGGAATGCAATATCTATCTATCTATCTATCTATCTATCTATCTATCTATCTATCTATCTATCTATCTATCTATCTACCTACCTACCTACCTACCTACCTATCTATCTATCGAATGCAATATCTATCTATCTGTCTCTACCTACCTACCTACCTATCAAATCAAGGAACATTTATTTGGGATCCAGATGGTAATACACCTGCCCTTTCCCTGATGGCTATTTTTATTATTCTTGGGGATACAGAAAAAAAGGGAAGCTTCTACGACTTCCAGAATTTTCTTTTCTTCGTATTGCACAGGCCTCACCCATTCTCGAACCCGTTTAGTGGGAAATGTCTTGCCCGAAACCAAAGGATGCGTCTTGCGTTTTGGAAATCCTGCTCTGTGAAAAGGCGAAAATAAAAACTGACAGGTTTGTAGAACTTCTCTGGGGAACATCGAGAAATTCAAGAGTTTCTATACAATACGCGTATTTTCAAGGCTTTAATGGAAAACATGGCTGGCTCGGGGAAATTTCTGGCACTTGAAGCCCACCCATCTTCAAGTGGCCAAGAAAAAGGAGGCTGGGTAAAAAATTTAAGAAGTTTCAACTTGCTGAACAAAGACAGATCATACAAGGAATACTGTCATCCTTGCCTCTTTTAAAATTGTTCACTTTTATATATTGTTTTCATATATTTTACTGTATACTGCCCAGAGTCCCTCTGTAAGGGAGTTTAAAAATTAAAAATCTGATAGATGGACAGACAGGCATCCGGTTCAGTGTCACATAAACCCTGAAAAATCTCTACCATTAAGGGAACTGCGTGTGCACGATGACCTGGCCTTCAAACTGATGGCAAAGACAAGGAGACAGGTCAAACAACTTTGGTTTAGACACTTAATTTTAATTCACACTTTCCATGATAAAACATGCCAAATAAAAGCTAGCGAGTGGTTTTAAAAAAAGAGAACTTCTGATCCCTTGAATGCCATGAGATGGATACCGAAAATAAGTCTCCCTGCCCCCAACTTTCTCAGTTCCTTTGTTGATAACACTGCACTGTAACTCAGCAAAGGAGCTTAGGAAAAAAGAGGACGCAGTTTTGAACGTTTTAAGCTAAGAAATGTATCCTTTGCAGCTCACTTCCCCAGAAGAAGCTGTGTGTCCATTGATTTAAAAAGTCCGCAATGCGTTATGTACGTCACATAAGCTTGGCTTTCGGCCTCTGAAAGGGGCGAGCACCATCAAAATCAATCGCAACATGATAAACGTCTCAAAAACTCGGCGTCTTACAAAGAATTCAGGTCTGCTGTTTAAAAAAAAACAACCCTGCATCTTCCAAAGTAGCAAAATACAAAAAAAAACAAAAACCAAAACCCAAATCAACGGTTCGACTCCTTCCGGTATAACAAAAATAGGTATTTTTTGGAAAATATGTGGCTCAGTACAAAAGATCGAGGTGTTTGTGTGGGTGTGTGTGTGTGTGAGTGAGTGTAAAGAGGGCATAATTGCAAAAAGGACCTGGGAGGGTTTAGAAAAATACAAAACCGGTTTGCATTTTCAGAGTGCATCATTATTGTTACTTTAGTGCAAATAAAGGGGTTTGTATCTTCATCGTCATCTTCAAATGTTGGTGGAAGTGCGTAAAACCTGGAATCGCTTCAGGGTCATCCGGATGGATCCCAATTCTCGATTGATTCTTTCCAGGCGGTCCTCCAGCGCTTCCTGAGGGGGGAATATTCAGAAGAGGGCGTTCAGGATCCAGAGAGAATCAGGAGGAAGAAAACAAAACCGAGCGAAGATTCTGGAACTGACATTCAGGGTTTGTCTTTTACGGCCTTTCGGTAATTTTGTGACCTGGATGAAATCATGGTGTCAACTCATAAAACAACCCTACGCCTGTTTTAGTAGTTGCCATTTAAAAAAAAGGAGAGGGAAAGCGAAAGTACATTCCAACTCTTTATCTTTAAAAGATTGTAGCTAAACTACCAGAGCTTTTGCCTGGGAATGTATTTAATTGGAGAAGGTGATTGATGACAGCCAGCCTGTAATTGGAGAATATGATTGGTGACACCTAGCCCTCGAAGGTGCTCAGTTGGAGAATATGAGTTATTACACACCCGGGGGGAGGGGGGGAAACAGGGTCACAGGGGCTGTCAATCACATATGCCAGAGTTGGCTTCCTACAGGGCAGGGCCGGCATGTCGCCTCTAATGAATCCTTTGAAGTTTTTGAAGTTTGGCTCGAGAATCATGATTTAATTAGAGCAATTGCATGGTCTGTGTCTGTTAAAAGTCTGAAAGCTTAGCAACAATTGGAGGCTGCATGGGCACTGAAAAATGTGATTTGCGACCGGTCCTCTTACTTATGACCGTCGCAGCATTGACCAGGGTCATGTGATCAAAAATTCAGATGCTCGGCAACCGGTATTTACCAGGATTGCAGCATGCCGGGATCAACATGTTTGTCATTTACAACTTTCCCGGCTTCCGACAATTCAACGGGGGGAAGCCGGATTCATTTTACCGACCGTGTGATTTTGCCCAACCAATGTGATTTATTTATTTGCCGCCCAAAGTTGTCGGATACGAGATGGGTGGCAAATAAATTTCATAAAGAAATAAACATCATCAATTTATTCACTTCCCAACCGTTAACAGCAAAAGGTGGTAAAATCGGGTGGGTCTCATTGAACGACCGTCTTGCTCAGCGGTGGAAATTCTGGTTCCCCGATTGTGGTTCTAAACTGAGGACTGCCGCACACAGGTGCACCACACTTAATCCCAGAGACACAAGAAGCATTGCCACCTGATTCAGACGGGCCTGGAGCGTCATCCGTCCTCTGGCGCAAGGAATGCGGCTCAGCTGGGACTCAATCTATCAGCACAGAAACGGCAGGAAAGAGAGAATGCTTTTAAAAAGTGGGGGGCAACCTCCCCCCCCCCCCCCCACAAAGAAATAAAGGCTACCCACAAAAAAGCGAGCAATCTTTCTCCAGTTGAGGGGATCTGGCCACTGATGGTCCTAGAAGAATGTCCCAACCTTGACAAACCTCTTTTATAACGCGTGGATTTCAACTCCTGGATTTCCCCAGCCAACCATAATGTCGGATAGCCAGTTTGGTCTACTAGTTAAGGTGCCTGGCTAGAAAGCTGGAGGCTGCGAGTTCAAATCCCACTGTAGCCATGGAAGCCAACTGGGTGACTTTGGACCAATCGCCAGGAGACGGTGAATTCTAGTCCCGCCCTAAGCGTGAAAGCCAGCTGGGTGACTTTCCACCAGTCCCTGCCTCTCAGCCCAACCCACCTCACAGGATTTTTGTTGTTGTGGAGGGTAAAATAGGAGGAGGAAGGTGTGTGGGAGATGTTTGAGTTATGGGTAAAAATAACCTAGAGAGGATACGAATCAAGAAATACAAACTTAAGGCCTCCAGCAAAGGTGATGGGGAAGAGAAGCCAACACGCCTCACGTGTCTACCTCTTGTTTTTCTTGCGTCAGCTCGTCAAAAAGCCGCTCGGTCTCTGCCAAGGTCTTAATCCTGGAAACGTACTTGAATTCGGGCTCGTAGGGGGGTGCGGCCGCTGCCGAAGAGGAGCTCGTCTCGCTGGTGTTGGTAGAGCGGCCCTCTTCGTAACCTTCCCTCGAGGAATCTCTGCTGGGTCTGGAATGCAGCGGCTGTGGGTAGGAGGAAGACTTCGAACCTCTGCGGCTTTCGAGGCGACTGGGCTGCCGTCCTGTCCCCAACCCCCCCGAGAAAATGAGAAAAGAGAGGCGTGATTTTAAACCGACCACCGATTCTCACGTTCAGAAAAAGAGACCTGCCACCCAGAAGTGGTGGGGGCTCCAACCCTGGAAATTGTGAAGAGATTGACAAGCGTTTGTCTGAAACGTTATAGGGTTTCCCAGCCGGTTCTGACCGGTTCTAGAGAACCGGTTGTGGAAATTTGGAGTAGTCCGGAGAACCAGCAAATGCCGCCTCTGACTGGCCCCGCCAACCCCATCTCTTCTCTGCCCCCCATTGAGTCTCAGCTGATCGGCTGGGTCTTCTTTGGTTGCCCTGCACGGGAGAAGTGTTCTGACCCAGGCTTCGTCAAACGTACTTCAAACACAAACTTGTTTTAAAAGCAAAACCTATTTTATGGCAATGCTGGGAATGACTTTCATTCCCAGCCAAAACTAATTATAAACAATTCCCCAAGATAAGCACATGCCTTTCAGTGCTGTGGAATGCTGCCAAAAACAGAAGTCTCCAATTATAACAGAAACCCACCAAAGTACTAGAAAAAAACAACCAGAGCTTCAAGGACTCGGAATCTTATTGAACTACCTTGCTTCCTGCAAAGCGTTCGTCATTGAGGTCTGACTTTTATCCCTTATGGGAGGGGCAATCACCTTGCAGCCTTACTCCCGAGTCGCCCCTTCTGCTTCAGCTGGTCCTGCCTTCTAGAAGCTCTGTGCACATGCACACTGGGAACAGGCTCCCCTGGGTCCTTTGCCTTGCTGCTGCCAGACTCGGGGGGTTCCGGAGTCAGCACCCCACTCCCCGATGGTCCTGACCCCATCTCTGCATCGGATGCAGGACCCTCATCCGAGGCCTTCCCAGACTCCCTGACTGATCCCCTTTCTTCCTCACTGTCCAACTCCGCTGCTGTCTGCACCGGCTGCCGGCGAACCACAACATTCTGTGATGTCACAGAACAGAACAGCAGCTATCAAGACGTTTGAACGGCAAAGGATCCCACCAGTGTGAAATTTACCTTGTGGGTCACCTCCTGAGCAAAACTGGAGCCGCTTCCGTGGGCTGCCGTACTGCACTGCAGGGGCAGCTGCGACCTCATTCAAGTGGATGTCAAATCTAGCGCAGAAAAGAAGAAAGCTGCTTGCAAGGAGGTTTGGATTTCCTCTCTCCCCCTTCCCCGGGGTGTAAATACCTGGTCATCGTGTCTTCGTTTCTGCTGAGATAGTGGCTGAACCCTGGGGACAGATTTTCTTTGGGGGAGCGCTTGGGGCTGTAGGTCACAGCCATCGGAGTCAACATGGTCTCTCGCTTGGCTGCAAAGAGAAAGCAGGAAAGGAGTCGTCCTTAAATCTTAAGAGAAGGTGTCAGGCACGAAGAATCAGGACCATCAATTAAGGTGCGTTCCGATTTAGTGCTCCGCTTATAGACAAGAATCTGGCCAACTAGAAGTTCAACAGAATTCAGGAGGGATGAATGGACTTGGACCATTTGTGGCAACGTCATGATTCTAGCCTAATGACTCGCTTAACTCCACCACCCCCCTTGCTCTGCCTGCTCTTCTCCTGTAGAAGCCTCTAAAAGCTTCTTCTCTTGTGTTCACAGGCACCCTTTGCAACAAAGGCGTGGTACTCAAGGTCTTGACAGGATTTCCTGCCTAAGTGAGATCTACATAGGGTGGGCTTTTGGGGTGCTACTGAACCCCACTTCCCATCACTGGGATAGCAAATGGGGCAACAGCAGTCGCAGTCTATTAGTATCAAGATGGGACGTCTTCAGGTTGGGGTTAAAAAAGATGCACAGGTAGGCAAAAAAAAAAACCCGCCACAAGTGGAGATATGATGGCACCATCTTGCCAATTTCGCACGATGACTTAATAGGCATTCTGGCTGGGGAATTCTGGGAGTTGAAGTCCGCAAGTCTTTAAAGTGGCCAAGGTTAAAAAAAACCACCAAATTAAGACAATCCAAAATCTTTACTTGGTGTGTTTGTCTTCCTGTTTGAAGGTGGGAGTGATGAAGATCTCTGGGTACTGGACGAGTTGAATTTTTTGTGCCTTGGTTGCTCTTTGCTCTTCTCGGGCGAACGGCTCGCACCCAAGGACACCTCGGCAAACCCAACAACTGGACACCGAACGGCTGTTTCTGAAATTAGCAAAGGCAGAGAAGACTTCAATCAGGAGGGGTATTGGGAGCCTTTTTCGTACCGCATTAAATTGAATTGTCATTATCTAGGAGTTCGGGGTGCATGTAGAGTCACATGCTGAAGATAACAACCCCCAAAATATTCAGAGAAGCGAAATGAAATTGTGGATAGGCTGAATATTGGTTTCTGTGGGTCTAGGAGGTCTGTATATCTCATTAAAAAGGACTTGGGCTCTCCGCGCAGTTATCTGTTCACCTAAATCAGGGGTCTCCGACCTTGGCAACTTTAAGACTTGTGGACTTCAACTCCCAGGATTCAAAGCTCAGCTGGCTGGGGAATTCTGGGACTTGAAGTCCACAAGTCTTAAAGTTGCCAAGGTTGGAGACCCCTGATCTATATCACAGCCAGTGCAATTCTCCCAGGTAAGAAATATTTTTTTATTCGTTATTCGTTAGTAAGAAATCGAAGGGAATAGGTAAAGGTTCCCCTCGCACCTGCGTGCTACTCATTTCTAGCTCTAGGGGGTGCTGCTCATCTCTGTTTCAAAGAGCCAACGCTGTCCGAAGACGTCTCCGTGGTCATGTGGCCAGCAGGACTACGTGACGCCAAAGGCGCATGGAACACCATTTCCTTCCCACCAAAAGGGGTCCCTGTTTTTCAACTTGCATTTTTTTTAACGTGCTTTCAAACTGCTAGGTTGGCAGAAGCTGGGACAAGGAACAGGGAACTCTTCCCCATTACGCAACGCTGGGATTCGAACCGCCAAACTGCCGACCCTTCTGATCGACCAGCTCAGTGTCTTAGCCACTGAGCCACCGCATCCCTTAGAAGGGAATAAAAACTAATTAAAAGTCACATACTGCTGGTTTCGGCTGCTGCACTTTCCTCTTTCTCTGCCTGCATGCCTCGGTTCTTCAAAGCCTTCCTTTCTTCGAATTCTTTAAAGGCCTTGAGGATGGGGACTTCTTGAGTTTTGATCTCTTTTTGGATGGCTTCGTTGGTGAGGAGGCCACTTGGAGAGGTCTCTGGGGGAGAGTGTTGCCTAGAAAGAGGCAGGAAAGCCAGGCCTGTTCATCCCAGTGCTGGAAAGCTTGTCATAAGCAAGTGTTTCTCTTCCCAGATTCAAACCACATTAAATTATTGGAATTTAGCCCTCACCGTAACCTAGGGGAGGTTTTCTTTTTTGCAATTCAAATAAACTTAATATGGAACGTATTCGCCGTAGATGGGGAGTAAACACCACTGGAAAAGCATTTCAGAATTATCTCAGCCCAGCCCAGCCAGGGTATAACAAGGCACAAAAATTTAACTTCTTGATACCGTAGATCTTTAAGCTATTGATTCTGCAAGAGGAACAGTTTTTATGTCAATTATTTTCCTCTGAGAACCAGTGGAGGAGCTGGCACCTGGATCTGATGAAAGCCCGCAAGTCTAGAAATTGTTGAACAGACTGAATACAAATATGAGATCCAGAGACCCTCTGAATAAATGTGCTATCCCAGGGGTCCCCAAAACTAGTGGACTTCAACTCCCAGAATTCCCCAGCCAGTCATGCCTGCTTTCTCTCTCTCTTATTCTCCTAAAGTGGAGAGAGATTGCAGAGGAAGGGATTGGAAGAGAGTCAACTATGCTGGCTGGGGAAATTCTGGGAGTTGAAGTCCACCAGTCTTAAAGTTGCCAAGTTTGGAGACCTCTGGGCTGTCCGCTGGCTTTTGTTTTTTTGTGATTATGGTGACGTGCAGACAACACATGTGCCCTTTGTGTCTCAATTCAGTACACCCTTGAGGATCTCATGGCAACATGACAGAACAAAATGAAGGTTGCTACTTCCTGGGCAAGATCTGTTCCTTCTTTAAATATTTTAATCTTGTATTTTAGATTTTACATTTTAGGTCATGCCGCATTGCCTCAATGTAATCGTGATGCTTCTGATATGAATAAACAAGCAAGCACACATCTGGAGGGGAAAAAAAATATTCCTTACTTAGGGGAGGTGAATCTTTTTTCCAGTCGATTATCGGTGGAATTGTCTTGGGCTGCCAACGGCTGACCAGTGAAGATCGAAAATTCGGATCCCGGGATCAGCCACTTTCGTCTGCTCACGTCAAAGCTTTCTAATTTGCTGAAGGGACAAAGAGAGGCAGGGAACCGTGAAGAATCTGAACAGAGGATGTAGGAGTCAGTTGTCAGGCATCTGAATTATGACCATGGGGATTCTGCAAAGGTCGTAACTGTGAAAAACAAGTCGCTTTTTTCTTTGAACGTAACTTTGAATGGTCTCTAAATGAATTGTCATAAGTTGAGGACTATCTCTGTTTCTAAACCTGTGACACTCAAATGAGGGGATGATTGTTCTGAACACTTACAGCAAGGATCTTCAAACTGGGCAAGTTTAAGGCTTGTGGGCTTCAACTCCCAGAATTCCTGAGCTGACATGACTGGAGGAGGAGGAATTCTGGGAGTTTGAAGTCCACAAGTCTTAAGTTGCCAAGTTTGAAGACCCCTGACTTACAGCTTTGCAAAGCGCCACCGAGATTAATATTTGCAGCATTAAGGCAAATTCTGTCTTATTTGCAATTTTTTTTAATTAATTCCTTCGTACGCTTCTGAATAACAGCAGTGGTTATTCTGCACGTCATATTGTCTGACTAGGAGATCCCTTTTCATCCATCTTAAAATTACAATAGATATTTGCTAAGAATTGGAAAAATGATAAAATACCTATGCAGGAGGAAGTTATTAAGAAAATTATGGACTGTACTGAAATGAGTAAATTGTCATTTGAAATGAGAGAACAAGAAGATAAACAATTTTATATGATATCGGATTTATTTTACCAATGGCTAGATAAAAAGTCATGGTAATGAAGTTGCCAATAAATTTTGTAATAGAAGATTAATAGATTGATATAGAATATAATATAAAATAAATAACCATTGGATAAATGTATAGTATGAATTTATAATAAAATTTAGACTATCTCGTATAAAATGATGGAATAATAGTTTAGTCAAATGAATGATTAACAACTGATAAATATGTAAGCATATATTAGTTTGACAATTTGAGAATCTATATAACTTGTAAGGACGATGAAAGAATAGCACAAAAGATTTGTAACCAACTGACACACTGTATGTATATAATTGGAAGATGGATTTATGTTTTTATGTTTTTATCTGTATATGTCTGTCTTAAAAAATAAAACTTTTAAAGAAAAAAAAATTACAATAGACGTATCAGTGTGTGGCTTGCTCACCCTGATGTAATCCTTACTTCCTCACCTGGCATAAGATGGTGCGAAGTGTCCCTCAGCAAGAGAACGAAATTTGAGCGAGTTTTCATGTTCTAATTGCTTGACCTGCGTTTCCAGTTTTGAGACGGTTCTGAAGGAAAGCAGAAACAAAGAATAAATGTTACCCATGTTGAAATGATTTCAGTTCTAGTTGCTAGAATAGGCAGTTCTAAAAACTGGCAATGACACAATTGTGTTAAATCATTCTTCTGCATTTGGTTCAAAGATCTAAAGCTCAACAATTCTGGAAAACGGTATCCGCTGGAATGAAACAAAGGGACAAAGTTGCATTTCCTTTTCAACTTGAGATATTTTTTTAAATTAAACTTTTATTTAAAGGTCTATGCCCAGAGTTTGATAAACTAGCTCTTTGCTAGATTTGATTCAGGGACTTTGCTGGTCAGTAGTACCCTCAGTGAAGACATATGGTTAACTTATTCATGAAATCAATTGTGCTAATAAAAATGCAATTAAAAATATACAAGTCGAGAGATGCTTGTGTAGTTTTCTTGCTTTTCTAGAATTAAAGGCTCCAATATTACCTCTTCAAATCAGAAATCTGAGTGTGCGCATCGAGTAATTTGTTCTCAGTAATATTTAAAGAATCCTGTGGGAAAGGGGAAAAAAAAAACCACATTAAGGGTAACCCAAGCACTGATTTCACTAATACTGAATGATTCGAGTGTCTCTCTTTCATGAACTGAACATTAATTCAACTTGTCTTCAGCTCCTCTGGGGAAAAAAGGATTGCTAAGGCTTCTCTTTGTTTGTCCTTGGCAAAATAATTAATCACATATTCAGAACCTCCGTTCTCCACCATGGCTGGTTAACCTTGTGTCTTTTTTTGAGGTGGATGTGTCACTGTCTGCTTGAACAGTTTTCTGTTCCCAAGTTCCCTTGTTTTTGAGGTCCATTTAGCTGGCTACTGTCCACTGTTTCAGACACAGGACAATCTGGGTAGTCTAAATAAATGTATAGAAGATTGCACCGTTGACAAATTCAGTGGACAGGGCTGGATTTTTCATCCCTCCCAAGGACAAACATTTGGCGGATGAAAAACTTATTTCTGGGGGCAACGAATACACCTACTTTTACTCATGATCAAGGAATTGCTAAATCCTATTTGGTGTTTGTTCCTCTTCACCTAAATATGGACTCAGTTCTGCAAAAAAAAAAAAAATTACTGCTTACCTTAACTCGTTCGTGCTCCTTCCCAAGGGATTCGTATTCTCCCAAAAGCTATCAAAAAAGCAACAGTCTTATTATTTTGTAAGATTTCCAAAACTCTAGAATAAAAATCTAGCTGGCTCAAATCGCAGCATCCAGTACAGCGATCAAACCAGGATTGAAGCAAATTCCACCTTGTATTGTTGTGACTTATTTCTAACCGGCATTTAAGGGGGGGGGGATCAGTCTTACACACATTATCAGTCCATTAGAGTGTGAGACAAGAAGCAGCTATTTAATAAGAAGGAACAGAAATGAATTTGAGCTAGCAGGAAGTGCAAAGATTGGTTTTCTCCATGGGTGAAAAATCTCTATTCAACTATTTGCAGTTCAACAGGATAACCACCATATTCTTAAGGTAAAAAATGTCCTATTTTCATCTCTTGAAAAGTAAAACTTTCGTGGAAAGACACAAGTGTCGTGTTCATAGATAGTCAAATGACCCACATTGTTACCGTGGCTTTCAAAAAACCACATCAATAAAGACTTGGGTCCACAACAAATTTGAGGATGTTCTTTATACACACACATACACACACACACACACACACACATACACACACACACACACACACACACACACACATATATATATACACACACACACACATCCATATTGTATATAAAAAGCATTGATATCATTGGTATCATTCATATTAATCCAAATTACAATAACAATACTGGTACTCTTTATCACATTTATCAAACTTAAGTAATCCTCATATTATTATTTAAACAACAAAGAAAAAATGCCTAGCATCTATAAACCTCTTTCTATTATTTTTATTCTACAGATACGTACGTTCTAATACATTCCTATCTATTTTTATTTCTGCCTCTATCAGATTACAACAAGCTACCTTAATGTTTAAAAGGCAATTCTTCCTATCCATCATCTTTGTCCTCTTTAGTGCTTCAATTTTGATCCTTTTATTTTTCACTTGCCTCGCACACTCCTCCTCGATCTCTACCTTTCTTATTCAATCTAAGCATTTCTCCCAGGAGAATCTTATGCTGGCAGCTCTCCCAAATGGCAAGACGTTCTTGACAATCTGGCCACGGGCATTGCAAGGCCAGCGCTCCCCAACTCACATTTTGAAACATCCGGTTTTCTTCCTTCAAGCGGGCATCCTTGTTGTCGGAGAGCTTGTAGGCTTTCTCGAAGGCCTCTTCCAGGTCTCGGAGTCTTCTCTTCAGGCGACTGATGGTGTTGTCTTTCTCCTTGCCATTCATGCGCGTCTCTTCGAGGCGCTCCTGCAAGGACTTGGTGGTGGCGCTGAGGGCACTGAAGCGCTCCCGCCAATCTGCCTGGGGAGGGGAACCAACCAAGAATTATTTTTTTGTTATAGCTGGACTACACCATCCAAGCCTTGAGGTACACTTACTACTTCCATCTCTAAGGCCTTGTTTTTATTTTCAAGAGATCGCACACGGCCATTGGCTTCGTGCAGAGAAGTTTCTAGCTGGTTGCACCTAAAAGTTAAAACAGAGAGCCATTAAGTGTAAAAAAAAAAAAAAAAAAAAAGGTGAATGCATTATTCTCATTTTTAGGCACGCTGCTTAGCCTAAATACCTGTCCGTGAGATTTTGATGGATTTTCTTCATTTCCTCGGAAGGAGCAGTATGACTTGCTTCTAGTTGCTGCTTTAAACTGAGAATTTCGGACTCGTAATACGCTCGGAGATCAGTTATATGCCGGATATGTTTTTCCCTCAAATTCTGCCTAATCCTGATTTTTTTAAAAAAAACAAAACAAAACAAAACATTCAAAATCTCAGCAACTTTGCTTTCCAAAGCTGACAGGCGTTTGCCCCCCCCCCTTGAAAAAAAAAATCATGTCCTGAAAAATACAACGAACAAAAACACAACAAAGGGTTAACGCGTTGTCATCAATCCACTTAACCCCAAGTGGGGAATTTCTTGGAGCGTATGTGGTTAGACACAATAGCATTCTATTATGTGCCTCTGTTGCACAGTGGTTAGAGTGCGGTATTGCAAGCTACTTCTGCTGCAACCAGCTGCCTACAATTTGGCAATTCAAATCCCACCAGGCTCAAGGTTGACTCAGCCTCCTATCCTTCCGAGGTGGTTAAAATGAGGAGACCCAGATTGTTGTGGGGCAAGAGGCTGACTCTGCAAACCGCTTGGAGAGGGCTGGAAAGCACTATGAAGTGGTCTATAAGTCTAAGGGCTATTGTTAAGTCATTTTTGCACCTGGCTGAGGAGTAATAGAGGGGACGTTCTCAAGTTGGGATGGATGGTTATTGGGGCCTGTGACGGAATGAGGAGGGCAGGGGGTGGATTTGTAATAGTTTACTTATTGGAGGGAAACCCGGGACTTTCAGATTCGGGATTTCCCAGGTGTGCCAGTTTACTACTCTAATAAAAGGGAACTTTGAGATGTCTGGTTCGGAGTTATTGGTTGGAGTTGTTATTTTCTCGAACTCTGACACGAGAACTTACCTGTACACCTAAAGACTGCAATGCTTTGTTTTAAGAAAAAAAGGCGACCGCCTAAACGGATGATCTCACCTGGAGAGCACCTGGGGATCTTCTACGCAAGCGACGGAGAGTTCATGCTGTGCCAAACAATTATTGGCCAACGGAATCGGGTACTGGTTATCGGAAGACGGCGTGAGGGTTAAGTTGTCGTTGTCGTCCTCCATGTCTAAAATCTCGCGGTTCCGATGAGGAGAGCTGGGGACGCTGGTGGCGTTCTGAAACTCACAACCGCCCCAGGGGTCTCTGTGCAAGGCTGCTGGGCGAGAGGCGTAGCGGGGAGACTCGGTGGAGCGAGGGGACACAACCGTGCTTGTCGTGTGAGAAAACGTATTGGCCTCCGAAGGGAGGGAAAAAGCAGGGCCTGCCATGGAATCGGGAGAAAACGGGGGCCCCTCTGGGCTGGGGTAGAACCCGGGCAACGGCCGTCCTGCGTTCAGCTCGCTCGGTTTCATGTGGAGCGTCGGGTCGAGGGTAAGGATCTGCGAAAGAAACATCAGGGTGATTGGAGTTAAAAACAAGACAAGGGGCAGATTAGTTAGAATGGAACAGAAGAACAGAGTTGGAAGGGACCCTGGAGGACTTCTAGTCCAACCCCTTCTTAAAAACTCCCAGGGTTGGAGCATTTGCAACTTCTGGAGAAAAGTTGTTCCACTGATTATTTAAGTTAAGTTTACTTTATGGTCATTGCACCTCGTACAACAAAATTAAATGCCATCTTCAGTGTACATTATACATAAAAAAATAAAACACAAACACACATCCTTTGCACTCTATACAATTGAACTGGAAAGCCCTGATATTCCATTAATATTGCACTAGACCAAGGGTCTTCCAAATGGGCAAGTTTAAGACTTGTGGGCTTCAACTCCCAGAATTCCTGACCTGGCATGACTGGAGGAGGAAGAATTCTGGGAGTTGAATTCCCCAAGTCTTAAAGCTGTCAAGTTTGAAGACCCCTGCACTATACAGTAGAATGCAATATAGTTATTTGATCTGGGATAGAAGCTGTTTTTCAGCCTATTGTCCTTGTTTTATTGGCCTGTACCATCTGCCAGATGGTAATGCTATATATAAAATATGATATATGATATGATGATATGTAATGTAATGTAATAATAAATCCTTCCATTCCCCACCATTTAGTCAGAACTGAAGATGCTTCTTGGATGAAAAGCTAAAAGTCTTCAAGGAAAAACAAACTCCACTTGCCTCTTGAAAAAGAACCTTTGGGATAAATAGCTAAAAGACTACTTTACAATTAGGAATCTGAGAGATTCAAACTGCTTGGGAGCCTGGAAAAGCCTGACCAATTGTTAAGTATAAGAAAGGAGGGACGTTCTGAAGGCAACGAGTGGAAGTCAAATATTAGTTATTACCTCTGGGGGGTGAGTTGAGTGTACAGGGGAGAAATTCCACTCCTCAAGTTGCTTGTCTTCCTTCTGTTTCTTATGATAAATATCCTTTAAGGATGTAAGCTTCAGCTCGTCACTGGAAGACAGCTAAGAGGGAAGAATTCAGATTGAGAGTTGAAGCGTTTATTTAATATAACGATGAACTATATTTTTTTAGATGGGAAGAAGAATATTTTGGGAAGCGGGGCAAGTAAAATAATTCTAGAAACAGGACACCAGTCGATATAAGACGACGTTTCTCTACCTCGACAACTTTTAAGATGGGTGAACTTCAACTCCCAGAATTCCCCAACCAGCATAGATGTTGAAATCCACCCATCTTAAAGTTGCCAAGGTAGAGAAACATTGCTGTGTGGAAAAATTTAGAGCTTGGAACACATAGCGGCTTAATGCCATAAAGGGAGACCAGACTTGCTGTCACACATTAAACACACACGTTGTCACCCTTCGTGTGTTAAATAATGAGCAAGCAGCACCACCAATGGGAGTGGAGGAGCCTGAAAATTCAGCCAAACAGAAAAAAACAAAAAAAACAGAAGTTAGCAATACCTGTTCTGAGCAGTCCTTTGTAGAGAAGGTAGAAAATTCATTTCCTAAATTCTTAGGCAACGCTTGATACATTTCTTTCTCGTCTAATTTCCAATAGGTCAGCCCTGTGGGATAAAACAGGCATCCTGAAACCGATTTAAGAGTAGCAGAGAGCCAGGGGATCATTTTAAAAAGAGAAATACAGACTGAGGTAAAGTTTGGAGGGCTTTATGGAGGGCGTGAGGCTGAAACACGATAAAAACCCGCAGGGGCTTGGCACGTAAAACGATCCCTTTTTGTTACGAGGCCACCACACTTACAAGCGGTATAGAGGAACAAATTTAGAAGCCACTGTACCTGAAGAAAGAGATACTAAAGAATTTTGGCTTCCATTTTGCTGATTGAGGTAAAACGGAGTGGTTGATGGCGCGGCAGCGGTGATGGTGTCGGTCTGCAATTCCACAGGACGGGGAAGAGAAAAACAGGGATTTATTGGGTCAAGAAACTAAAACGGGACCTCCCTCACTGACTGCACAGGAGAGGAATTTGCCCCGGCAATCTGAGAAGATAATAATTCCGTCACCGGAATAATCCCATCAAATTCAATAGTGCTTATAACCACCCACTATCGCTTCTAAACTAGATGGACAAATCTATCTAATACATAAATAAAAAAATCCCCACTTCCAGATAATTGCATATTAAGGCTGTAGGCTGAGGTCATCTGTCATTCCCGATTAAGCTAAGGGTTGACCATTTTGGCCAGGATTGACCCAAATGAATGAAGAAAGTGGTTTTTAAGCCTGCAAATCTTAAGAGGGATTATTACAGGCCTCAAGGCAAACCCCTACCCCATGTAAAAACATCAAACAAAGGAGAAATTCCTAATTAAAAAGGAAAGGGAGGGTTGAAAATACTGCTTAGAACGGGGGTCTCCAACTTTGGTGGCTTTAAGGTTTGAGCACTTCGACCCACCAGAAATCCTCAGCCAGCCATGCTGGTGGGGAATTCTGGGAGTTGAAGTCCACAAGTCTCAAAGCTTGGAGGCCTGTGGCTTAGGGCATAATCTTGGACCACAGCTAGATTAGCCTCTTTAGATCTTTCATGACTAACTGGGCATTGCAATGCTAGAGCACCAACACACTGGCTGGGGAATTCTGGGAGTCAAAATCCACACGACTTAAAGTTGTTGTGAGCGTTCATTCGCTGCTGCCGTCCCGTTTCGTTTGGATTTCAGCAACTCTCTTACACTGTCAGTGGTTTGCTCTTTTTCCAGCTCCATCTTTTCTTCCACGTTTATTTTTTTCAGGTGGTTTTGTTTCATCTTTTGAGCCCATGAGGTTAAAGGCTTGCTGTCGAAAAAGAACACCGAAACACGGTGAATTAAAGATAATTACTTGAGCGCTGCAATTTATATTTTTTTTCCGGATGGCGGACAGTATAAACAGGAGCTCCTGCCACCTTTTGCAAACTGCAATGGATTTTTTAGAGCACTGTTTCAAGCTTGGCAACTTTAGGATGGGTGGACTTCAACTCCCAGGATTCCCTAGCCAGCATGGCAGTCTGCAGAATTCTGGGAGTTGAAGTCCACCCATCTTAAAGTATGCTAGCTGGGGAAATCTGGGCACTGAAGTCAACCATTTTAAAGCATGCAGGCTGAAGGATTCTGGGAGTTGAAGTCCCTCCCCTCTTGAAGGTTACTGGCTGGGGAATTCTGGGAGTTGAAGTCCATCCATCGGTGGCTAAGGCTGTGTAGTGCTAAACACTACATTAGTATAAAGAGCCAAGTTTTAAAGCTGGTAACTCATCCTCTAACTTTAAAGGTGAAGCTAACCAACTGAATAGTATCGCTCGCTTACCCATTTGGTTCCTCGGGTTGACCTTCATGAACCTGACGCTCAAACCGCGTGGGAACATGGCCATCGTTCTCCTTCAGAGGTGGAAGATGCCCTATTGTGGTTTGTGAACATTCTCTTTTGTCCTGAACGCTGGCCACAACTACATCCTCCGGTGCTGGTGCTGGGTGATTCGGCCGTTTGGTCATGGTCTCTGAGTTTTCCATGCATGACGGAAGGTCGTCGCATTTGCTGGGGCTCAGATCCACAGTAGACAACGTACCATACCCGCTGCTTATCGAAACACTGTTTGTAAGGCCTTCCTGGTGCATGGTTGAAGCTTCTGCCCGGTGGTCAGCATGGCCGGGATGGAACTGACTGGTAAAGAGCTCATTTTCTTCAAAAGCCTCGGCCTTCAACCCCATCGGACTTCCTAGCAACGGGCAGCCGTCTGAAAGCCTGACGGAAGAGGCCTGTTTGGCACACAAGCACGGGTTCTGGGTTTGCAGTTTCCCCAAGCGTCTGATTTCATTTTGTATATGCTGGAAAAGGGGGGAAGCAAACCTTTAATTAAAAATCAGTAGCATTTCATCGACTGCACGAGGAGAGCCACGTTTTAGTCACGTCCGTAGGACATTTTCACACACACACACACATATATATATATACACACACACACATAACATGCCAAAATATGTTATGGTAGACAAATGGAATACTTAGAAATTTGTTTTTATCTCTCTTTTTGCAACACATGCATGGATGCATTGAGAGTGTCCCGACATACAGACAAAAAAGGCCTCTACAGAGAATCATTCAAACTGCCCAGAAAATCATTGGGCTCCAGCTACCAGCCCTGGATGACATCTTCGCATCTCACTGTACGAGGAAGTCGCACAACATTCTCAGTGGCTCTTCCCATCCTGCTCACAATCTTTGTGAATTGCTGCCTTCCGGCAGAAGATACACAGCAATTAAGACTCAGACCACACGTTTCCTGAACAGTTTTTTTTTTTATCCCAGAGCTATAATTGCACTTAACAATTAACTTAAGGACCACCATCAGTGAGCTGTTGGACAGTATTACTTGGTCTGTTGTGTGGATGCTTGTGTGTTTTTAGGAGGCGGGGAATTTTGGCTTGTGGGGAGGTGTTTGGGAATTGTCATATGTGTGTGTGCATGTTGAGTCTAGTCTCTGGGTGTTATGTGAATTTTGTTGTATGTACACTGTGTATATACGTACAATGACAATAAAGAATTCAGTTCATTCATTGGGCTTGGCTGAGACAGAATCAGAAATCAGACCTCCCACCAATTTGGAAATATAAAAGGAAAAGAATTATGAATCTAAATGAAAGAAGGAAAATTGAGTGTTGGACTGGCTTGTTCCTCTCAACAAGTTAGAAACTTTCCCCTATTAAACCACAACTAACACTGTTATTTCATGACCAACTCAAGACATAAAAGCACCACAATGAATCGAACACGGACAGAGATTGAGAATTAAGCCAAAAACACTTTAGTCAATGCTCAGGTTTGGAACAGGCAATGTTTGTGCACTGGCATTCCTTCCAGACAAGTTTCCGAACATCAAACGGCAGGAAATATTATTTGGTAAGTAGTCTCATTTCTCCAATGCAACACGCAACCTCAGACATGGATGAACAGGTGAGTATTCTGCAAATATGAGTGGCAAAAAGTCACCCGGAAATAACAAAAATAAAGCAAAAAGACCAATGTACGAAGGGAAAAAGAGAACGGTAAAACAACAATACCTCTGTATATTTGTTTCAATTTCAGGAACAGTTGGTTACTATTAGTGGAGAGGGCCATCAGGAAAGGTAAGGGAGAAACAGTTACCAAAAATGGTGTAAATATTAAAACGCACCAAATACACGTAGACCAAATGTATCAAAATATATATTTTCAGCTGTAGGACTGAATTTAACAGGAGGGGAGAACTGGAATTTCTGAGAAAAGGGGAACTATTGGTGTCAAGGATGAAAACTGATATATTATTGTCAGCAGAGAAAATTCAAACACAAACTTCGATACAAAACAGCTTTGTATCTACACGTGAAAATTCAAACTAAGTCTTCATTTTTCCATGGTATTTGGCAACAGGGGACCAAAAACCTTTCCAAGTCCTGATTAAAATAGCAGCCACTTCCATCATTATTAGAGCATGAAGGTGAAGGTGTGTTACTATTTATGTACTTCTCCTAAAGCCATTTAGCAAAAGTCATTGTCCAGGAAAACCTATCTAACTTTTCTAAGTCTGGCCACCCTCGATGCTTGAAAATTCTGATAATAATCAAGATGAAATATAATTCTGAAGAGCCAAGGATAAAAATGGGGGATCGGAAAGAGGGGGAAACAGCACACTTTATAACAATAATTCTCAACCCTGCAAACTTTACTGGCTGGGGAATTCTGGGAGCTGAAGTCCACACAGCTGAAAGTTGCCGTGGTTGAGAATCCCTGTACTACAAATTTAGAAACTCTAAAAACACTTCTTGCTAAAAAAAAAAGGAAGTGAATGTTCTCTGAAAAATCACTTAACAAGTTTGTCTGAAGAGACTAACAAAGCTATCGGAGGGAATATTTTTATCGACAAAACCCGTTTCAACACAAGTGTGAAAAGACAGCCTGGGTTGACAGGAAGTGTGCACACATACACAAGCTCACTCAAACCAGATGGATTTAACTTCTTAAGGCTTCGAGGAGAAATGTAAACAAAGGGATACTGTACAACTAAGGTGCTATTTTAGGCGTTTGATAAAGTTACAGTAAAACACTATTCCCCACCCTTATCACTTATCCCCAATTTCCTAGCCATTCCCAGCTCACATTCTCCAGCGCCAGACCTTCGGTATAAAGGCATAAAATAAATGAAATGAAACAACTTACGTGGATTTGATGACAAAATACTTTTTGCTGTGCGACTATCTGCTCTTGGCATTGCCTCTCCACCAGGCTGAATAAATGTAGCCACCTGGTCTATGGGAAAATATAAGTTTCAGGAAAGGAAAGGAAGCAAAACATTTTCTTCCCTGATGGATTAAAAATTCCGTTTGCCCAGATCTAGCTTGGCAATTGGCTGGTCTCTGATACAACTGAGGGTTTCCTCTTTTTGTCTCGAACCTGTTATCTGATACCTGTATTCGGTCTGAGATCTGAACAGGAGCGAAAAGAGTCCGAAGACAGAAAGAAAATTAAAAAAAAAACCACCCTGAAAATCTGAATCTAGAGAATTCTAAAGTCCTAGCAAGGCATTTAAGATTTCAAGCCTCAATACTTGGAAACAACACATATTAATTTGTTAACTGTTTTTATATTTGTTTTTTATATCATGATGTAAGCTGCCCAAGATTGCTTTTAATGGTGAGATTGGCGACATGTAAATTGAATGAATAAATTAAACTAGGAAGGTGAAGTTAGGCTGCTGTTCAAAATAATTGAGAAACATGGGTGGAAAGACTGTTGTGTCGCATACCTCACACTTCTTCAATATTCTGGGGTCCCTGTTGCTTTGAGCATCTTGCATAGATGAAGCCAGCAAACGAACCTCTTCTGTTACTGCAGAAGGACCAACTTTGCCCGAGAAATTGGAGACGACATCCGGCTGGAATAAAGGACTGCTTCTGTTGAACCGATAAAAACATGAATTATTTATTTACTGAAACTCGCCTGGGCTTTGCTGAACATCCCATTCTTGCTCTGAAGACAATATGGAGCCATGGAAAATCGGCAGGGTTCCCCCCCCCCCCAGGTCTTTGAGTGGACTTTGTTAACTTGGTTAAAATAAATGACTTGTCAGTCATAAGCAGGATTTTGGACAAGCTTAGTAGGCCAGATTGTGCTAAAAATTGAAATTTGCTTTTCTATTTGAAAAACTGGATTCTGAAAACACAATGAAAGTTTAAGAAGCATGATATTGGTTAAATTTCCCACTAACCTGCTGTCACTTATGTTATACTCAACCAAGTTGTGAGCGTTCTTAGCATCAGGGTCCGCTGATGGTGCTCCTTGCTCTGGTTTCACCAATCCCAAGTTTTCCATATCTCATGCTTGCAAAGATTGTGATTGTCCTTAAAATATATACATATATTAATTGGCTTTGATAAAATAATTTAGCAAGGAAAGCAAACGAAATATAACTGCTACCGCTGTTTTAAAATGTGTTTAAAATGTGTAAAAACAGATTCATTGCTTGGTCTGATCTAACCATTGCATCATAGGGTTCAGCCAATACTTACAAGCATTTATTTCTTTATTAAAACATATACTCAGTGTAGTTTCTTGGGTACCAGAAAACCACTCTACTTGCCTTATATATCCACAACATTCCAGCCAAATGCTCTTTTACTGCTGCTGTTTCATCCGGGTGGCTAAATCCAAAATAAACTCTGCAATATGAACAAAGAAAACACAGCTGTGAAGCATCCCTTTATGAAGAAAAAGAAATAATATTTCCTGGTATCGTATGCCTTGACCTATTTCTTCCTGACCAGAGTTCTGTGTGCATGAATTATTTGTAGATCTTAATTTACTCATGCAGCATTCTAAAAATTTCTCTCCTTTTTCAAATCAAGAGTTTTAGAAGTGTGCATACTCAGGGTCAGGGACAATTGTACTTAAGAGATAAACACTTGCCAAGTTAGTCTGAAATATAAACGGATGCTGGGAAGGAACATATTCAGCTTTATATATTATATTTTTTCTTCCACTCTTTGTAGGGTAGAATAGACAAGTGTGATTGGACACACAAGGAATTTGTCTTGGTGCAAATGCTCTCAGGGTACATAAAAGATACACTGGTCGAGAGTCAAGAATCAAAAGGTACAACACTTAATAATTCTTTGTAGGATATGATTGGTTTTCTATATTTATCATTTAGGTCTGTTTCCCCTGTTACAACCAACTTTTTAAAATCAGCTTTTTAATTCTCAAATATAGAATTAGCAACATGTAACCTAAATACATCAAACAGGAGATGTTATTTATTCTCTTTTGATGAAACAGCGAGGAAGCTGCTTAGTTCACTAAATTGCAACTGTGTGCAAAACAATTTTTTTATCCAAGTTGATCCACTGCTTTCTCGTTTTTCTTCTTTATCAATGTTTCTAGTGAAAAATCAAATAAGGGTATATTTATTTATCTATCCTATTTATTTGTAATATTTAGATTTGTCCATCCAGCTCCTGCTTTTCTGCTGTCTTTTACTGTATCCTTTCAAATTAAAAGAACATACACAAAATCAATAATAACAACAAATAACACATCTATCCCAAAAGCTGGAGAAATATTTGATAGATGGATTGAAAATACCAAATCGAACGTAAACAACTGCCAGGCAGTGCAAAGAACCGTAATAACAATATTAAATTCTCACCCAGAATGACTCCCAGCATCTCTTTAGACCTTCTCAAGAACCCTGCAAGATAGGCCAGTCTGGCATTCTGCCCTTATTTACTGGCTTCGAGGCCGACCTTTTAAAGAGCCCCACCCCCTCACTCTTATGGGACAAGGCCAGAGTATAAACATCCAGAGAAGCCAGGGATTGGATGACAGACCTGTCAATCGGAATAGTGGGGCGTGCCGGAGGAAAGGAAATGAGGTCGCCCCGCCCTCCCGTCAGAGGCAGTGGTCCGGTCCTCGCGAGGGCGATTCCGCCTCCGCCACCACCTCGCTTACCTCCCCGGTGGCCCCGGTGGCCTTCCGCGCCGCTCCCGCCAGGCGAAGGCCGAGCTGGGGAAGAAGGCCGACCACCCAACCGTCTCCTCCCCTCCGCCGTTGGCGGTTGAGATTCGAAGAAGCGGTTTCAAGACGAGACGCCAAAGGCTCGCGAGGCGGCTGCGCCGATTGGCTGCTTCCCCAGCCGCCGCGCGACGAGATTGGCTGGCAGGATCGGGAGGAGGGTGCAAAATCTAGGACGCTATTGGCTTGATCTCACTTTGGTCAACGAGTGAGGGACGGGACGGGGGGCGAGAGGGGAGCCTCTCTGGGATTGGCTTCTTCGGGCCTCAGCCATTGGAAGGGGCACCTGTGAGGATGGGGCGCATGCGCAGCAACGTCGGTGTTGAGGCCTTGTCGTAGTTGAGTTACCCCGAAGGTAAGTTTGGGAAGCCACCGAAGTGGACAGACGGGCCGTTGAGAGAAAAGCTCCTCCCTCTCCGGTGCTGCCTTCCCTCCTATTGAGCAGCTGCTCGTGTCCATTTCCCACGCCTTTCTCGCCATCCCAATCGCACAACAACCCTGCGAGGTAGGACAGGCGGACCCAATGAGAGCCAAAACAGCTGGAGAGCTTCACGAAGGTGGAAGGGGGGACAGAATAAGGACTTGAACCCCCTTTTCTCCCCTAATAACCCAGTATGGGACTGCTCTGATTTGCAGCTGGAGAGAGGAGAGCCCCCTCCCTGCCCCCCCAAAAAAGTGGGGTGCACTTTGCAAAGCCCAGATTCAGGAGAAGAAAAAAAACCCGAAGAGCATCAGTAGCCTGAATAAGATCTCCAGACTTGCCACTGCTACTACAGGTAGTCCTTGACTTACAACTGTCTATTTAAGTGATTGTGCAAAGTTGCCCTGGAAAAAAAACATTGGCTTGGGACAGTTTTTCCCACTTAACAATCGTTGTAGCATCACAGCATCATGTGATCAAAATACAGACACACACACCCCTCGGCCACTGCTTTGTACTTATGACGGTTGCAACGTCGCTGGGTGGGTGGGGGGTTTCCCACATGATCCCCTTTTACGACCGTCCAGCAAGCAAAGTCGATGGGGAAGCCAGATCCGTTTAACGACCGTGTTGTTCCTAACTTAACAAGGGCAGTGGATTTAAATGCGGCAAAGTTGAGGTCATGGCGTGGAGCGAAAAGTCACTTTAACACACCCTTTCTCACTCAGCAACGTGTATTTTGGGCTCAAAATTGTGGTCGTAACCTTGAGGACTGCCTGTAGTTTGTTTCGGGCCAATCCCATCACCTTTCTATCCTGTTTGAATGAAGATCGAGTCCTGATTTGTCCACAAGTATTTTTTTAAAAAAAGTATTTTATGGGATACACCCTTGCTTATTCCTATGTCTGGATCTCCGCTTTGGGTCAAAAAAGGAGACGCTACATTTGCTTCTTACCATGATGGAGGGTGGCCAGGCTGCATTTCCCTTTGGCAGTTGGTTGCAATGCAGTGGCCTGAGCTGGTTTTGCAGGGAGGCAACCTGTCCTCACCTCCCTTCCTTCATCCCATTTATTCCCTTGGCAACTGAAGCGGCAAGCATCGCATTGTGACTTCACTGCAGAGAGTGGGAGATGATAAGTGAAAAAGTTGGCTTGAAAACTTGGGCTGCTTTTTCATCTCTTTCTCACAGAGGTCTACAAACTTGGCAACTTTTAAGGTTTGTGGGCTTCCACTCCCAGAATTCTCCAGCCAGCATGGGAGTCGGAAGTCCACGAGTCTTAAAAGTTGCCAAGTTTGGGGACGCTGGCTTTGTCAAGTGAGTAATTTTTGGTCCACCCCCATCCATGAATCTTCTCAAAAAAATTATTCCCAAAATGTGCGATTCGGTACGAGCGTGGGATCGAACGCTGAATTGGAAATATTTTGACCATGTAGCATTTCTCAGGGAGCAACCTATTTTCAATGGCTGGTACTTCACCTACAAAGTCAAACGGCTTTTTTTAAAAAAGAGTTTCAGTCGAGACCAAGTTTTAAGTCGTGGCTTTCAAACAAAGCTGGAAGGTACGAAAACTTCGTTTTAGATCAAATTTTGTTTCAAGAGCCCATTACGCCCACATTACTTAGGGTGGCTTATTTTGGTGTGTGCTGACTCAAAAGTTTTTCTGGTCCTGAGTTTTAAAAAATAGATTTATTTATTTTTTTCTCCCTTGGAGCCACTGGGTCTTGGCAACCTCTGTCAGTTGATCAGCTTAGAGCCATTAATTTGCTCTAAGAATAGTAAGAGGAGAGGGGAAAAAAAGCCGCACGAAGGAAGCAGAGCTTGCTCGCCCTCCTCCCTTCCCTGCAGTGTGAGTTTGTCCCTTCCTGCTGAGCTGCACACCTGGTGTATTATTTAACAGAGAAGGCTGGAGCGGAGCATATGCAAAAATAGAAAAGGGACAGATGGAAGGCAGAGTACCGGACTTGCTGGATCGCAGCCAAACGGAGCTGCGCAAGGGAGACCAAAGTGCGTTTGGGCCGCCATTAAGAGGCACACCAGGTACGATGTATGACATGGTTTATTTTCTCAAAAGTAGGCGTGGGTTAAATACATCAGACACAATCTTTTTAAATAGCTGCAGACGCACTTTTTCTCCAGTGCCAGTTCTGCAGTTCACCAGACATTCGGTGTGGCATGAAGTGTCGCAAAGCCAAGGCAAATTTGGCTCATTCCTTCTACCAAACTGTTAAACCTGCTGTAGGCTATGGTTTGTTAACTCAACCGAGTTTCTTCTGGATTTTATTTTACTTTTTTTTCCCCTAGCTGAGTCTTCCTGTTTCTCTCTTGCAGCTTAGAAAAGTCCCCGCCAGTTCGTTTTAGATGCCTCCCTCAAATTTATTACGTTTCACTGCCTCTTTGATCCATCGGAGAACTTTCCCTTGGACATCGAGGCTTGGAGACAGACATCTCTTAATGCGCCAGTGCCTTGGAGTGCCGTACATCCTTGGAGTAGGGAAGAAGAGCTGCAGCGAGCTGCTTCCTCTCAATGAAGCCGACTTGGAAGAACAGTTTGTCCGGGGTTTTGGGCCTGGAGGCCAGGCTACAAACAAAACCAACAACTGTGTGGTTCTCAAGCATCTCCCTTCGGGGATTGTCATCAAGGTGAAGGCACCGACGGTTCTACTCAATTTCCTGGCAGGTTTCCCTTATTTGATCCAGTTTTTCCTCTGTAGCTTGCCGTGCATGATCTGGAAGGTACTCAAGGGTCTGAAATAGGGGGTTTCCCGATCGCTTATGGCGTGTGAAAGCCTGGTCCGGGTGTTTAGAGAAACTTTCCTGTTGTAAGCTCATCTGTGATGGGGAGTGGAGTAAATTTAGATCTGTATTTGACCAGGAAAAGCTTTAGCTCAATCTGCAAGTCGTGTGGTCGTATTGAAACTTAGTTGTGTATGCAGTGTTTTTTCTTCACCTTGGCAGCTTGAAGATGGGTGAACATCCACTCCCAGAATTCCCCAGGGTCTGCCTTCTCTAGGGCCCAGACTCTATGGTTGGTAGACCTCAGAAGATGGATGGTCTTCAACTCCCAGAATTCCCCAGGGCCTGCCTTTTCTAGAGCTCAGACTCTATGGTTGGTAGACCTCAGAAGGCGGGTGAACGTCAACTCCCAGAATTCCCTGGTGGCTGCCTTCTCTAGGGCCCAGACTCCATGGTTGGTAAACCTCAGAAGATGGATGGTCTTCAACTCCCAGAATTCTCCAGCCAACAAGGGAAATCTGGGAATTGAAGTCTGCCCATCTTTAAGTTGCCACGGTTAAGAAACGCTTCTAGATGAAAGCTGTTTTCAACTGGTGAACCATCTCATCCTGCTCATCCTACTAGAAGCGTTGGTATAACATGGCCCACGTGCTAATCCTCATACTGGCATTTATGGATCCCTCTGGGAGCTTTTGCCAGCCTATTGAGTCTCTTCAGTGCCGTTTTTCTCCATTTCCGGCTGCTGAATGCCTCCTGCCCCCTGCTTTTCTTGAGGAACGCCTAGCAAAGGTGTCCAGATGAGGCGGCCCGCGTTCTCTTTTAACGCTAGATCCTTGTTTTTCTTCCCTAGTGCCATCAGACTCGATCCCTCGAGACCAACCGCTCAAAAGCCAGGGAGATCCTTCAGGAGAAAGTGGACATCTTCTACAAGGGCCAGTCCAGCGTGGTGCTCCAGGAGAAACAGGAGTTGCAGAAAAAAAAGGAAGAGAAGAGACGACAAGCCAAAAAAAACCTGGAAAGGAAGCGGCACTTGAAAGAAATGCATGCCCTGGAGGACAAATAGGAGCATAAAGAGAGTTTCGGCTGACGTTATTTTTAAAAAACGGGACCTACTCTAATCAATGCATTTTTTTTTAAACTCTGCAATTCAGCAGAAAACAATACAGTCCAATCGGTGCTTGAATTATTAGCATGATGGCATCATTTCCACCACCACCCTCTCCATTTCACTGAGGGCAGGAGAGATCCTTGCAGGTGGCAAGGAACCTACCCCATTTTCCAGGGCCTAGATCACAGCATTTTGGGGGGGGGGGGAGAGGGGTCACGTAATTTATTTCTTCTCTTTGCATATTTGCCAGAACTTTTACAAGAACGAAGTCCAGCTTCTTTGCTGTCATTTGGTAGCGTGCAAAAATTGCTGTAGCATTTCGGTCGCGCCGCGCTGTTAAACCCAGTTGTCCCAAGGTGACGCGTTCCGTCGGTATCAAAGCCACGAAGAAAGTTTTTAAATCAGGATAAGATGGATCCCTTTCCTGGAGTCCATCAACGCTTCTGGATGTATGTTTGCTTTCATTTCCTTAAATCTTTTCTATCTCCTCTACTTGTCCTCTTTTAATAATTTTAATTACTTGTCCAGCTCACTCCCCACTCCCCCATGGCTCTCTGGTATTTAACCACAGGAATTATTGAAAATAAGCTTTATTACGTCAAGTAATAAATACATACAAAGAGGCAAAGTTGCAATTTAAATCCGGGGACGGGGAGAATTGTTAATAACGGCTGAAAGTTGGCTGTTTTCTGCTTGGGAGGAACTTGTGCGTTTTTTGGGGGGATGGTTGTGGAAAACTCACCCAAAGAAAGGGACGTTTCCAAAGATACCGTTTACGGTCTGCGTGCCAAAAGAATAATACTCCAGATGATTATATGGCAAGTTGAAGAATAGATGGCAGGGAACTTTATAATTCCACCAGTTTAAAAACAATCCCTGAAATGGTTGGGCTGGGAGACAAGTTAATTTGGAGCAATTAAGGCATTTTTTTTTCCCAAAAAAGGTTTACCCTGCAAATCCTAAGTATTTTTACTTTGGGGTGTTGTGCAGGATTGTTTTTTTGTGTGTGTGTGTGTGGATGTCCACAACTCATCGACATAACGGTATGGATCTGTCCTCCAGGCACGCAAAACTATTGATGCATTGTATAGAAAAATGTCAGTAACGCAGGAGGGGGGTTCTGATAGGGGAACCTGTCCAGTTTTATTTCAGTGAGGAATCTCTGGAAAGCGGCAAGGGATCCCTCCACTGGCTCTGAACACAGACTAGAAAAAGATCTAAGGGGGATGCGAGCCTGGAGAGCAATTGCGAAAAGTTGAGAAAAGGGATGTTGGGTACGGATGACAAACGGGCAGGAAGCAAAGCTTGTTCCCGATTAGGAGCAGAATTTGGGTGGAAAAAGAAGAAAAAACCCACCCCCTGAATAATTGCCGTTCTTCCAAGGGGTGGGTTTTTTTGTTTTGGATTGATCCATCCAGGATGGCAACTTGCAGAAATGTAAGAGTCAAAATGAAGCTTGTGAGATGATACAACACAAAAAAAAACGTCTGGATGGGAGCAGGAATTCAATGGGAGACCGGAATTCTCGGCCACAGTTCTTGGAAAGGGAACTATGCCAAACGAGGAAGAAGACGTGCAGAAAATGGCCAGTTGGAAGGGTTGGTCTGCATTTTTCCAGAGGAAGGGGATTGAAGGGGATCTTAAGATCTTGCGTTCCTCTCCGTCTCTGCTAAACATTCTCGGACAAGTCCTCTGGCGTGGATGATACCTGTAAAAATAAATATATATATTTTTTGGAAGATGCTTTTTTGTCCCCCACAAAATGAGCGAGCAACTTAACTGCTGACCAGGGAAATAACATCATGAAGAGCCAAAATTCCAAAGCAAATCGTATTTAAATCCTTATGTGCAAAATCCATTTTGGCCTTTGCGGGTATCCTCAATTTAATGACAATTTATTTAGTGACAGTTCAAAGTTACGCCGGGGCCAAAATAAGTGACTTAGCCATTTTTTTTCACACTGATGACCTCCCCATGGTCACCGGATCAAAATTCAGAGGCTTGGCAACTGACTCACACTTACGATGGTCGCTGCGTCTCACAAGCCAGGGGGTTCCCTTTTGCGACCGTCTGACAAGCAAAGTCAATGGGATTGACTTAACGACCGGGTGGCCAGCTTACCACTGCCACTGCCGTGCTTCCCTTAACAACGGAGGCAAGAAAGGTTGTAAAAGGGGGCGAAACTCACTTAACGACAGAAATGTTGGGCTCCACGGCAGCCTACCTGTATTTGAGTCTCCACATTTGGAATAAATCTCTTTATTTGTGTAAAATACGGTAGACGGTGCTGTTTTCCTAGAGCAGCCGCCTCCAACTTTGGCAACTTTAAAGCTGGTGCTCTTCAACTCCCAGAATTCTTTGCTGGCTGGGGAATTCTGGGAGTTGAAGTCCGCCAGGCTTAAAGTTCTCACGGTTGGAGACCGCTGCTCTAGAAAATAGCCTGCCTCTTGCACTTAAGCCAGGGCGGGACAGCCGAGACCCTAATGGCCTCCTTTGTAGTTTGCGGCAAAGCGTGTTTGGATTAAACTGGATTCCCGCCTAGCAGGATGGGTGAACCCTGAAGCTTGTCACTATGGCAACGGAGATCAAGCAATGAAGGAAACAAGGCCGAAACAACTCGGTTGGTTAGAGCGACACACAAGGTGGGCCTGACGCCAACTCCCCCGTGTTAATTCCCGCCGATCTGCTCCCAATAGTAAGCCTCTTTCCATCAGCGCCACGACTACTACTACCCGTTGCAAATTCAGAATCGGCGGGTTATTAAGCCGGCTTCAAATGCTGGGGACACAATCCCGAGGACTAGAAACGCCGGCGATTTAAAAGGAGGCTGACCTAAAATTTACCTCGTTTTAGCCTTTCCATGGCACTTTTGCTGCCGGCGTAGGTGGGTCTGATTTCTTTTCCTAATTCTTCGATGATGGTCAGGAGTTCTGCGTATTTACTCTGAGGGACTTGGTTGCTGCTGGTGGCCTGCTGGCAGAGGAGGAAAGAGGGGGAAAAAAACCTGGAATTAAGTCACAAAGACACCCAAAATCCGAGGGTTACAAATGAGCAGAACAATAGGGGCAGTCCTCCTCTTAACAACTTTTCGTTTAGTGACCGAAAGTTACAATTGGCCCCGAAAAAAAAAGATACTGGAACACTGCTATCATGTCCGCTCCTGGTCCTTCTCTTCATTAGACTGGACCTATACAATTCCTGCAACTGTTCATCGTACGGTTTAGCCTCCAGCCCCCTGATAATCTTGGTCGCTCTTCTCAGCACCTTTTCTACTTCATTGTGTCAACTAAAAAAAAAAATACTTCTTTGGTCTTTTTAGTTGCCAGCAGAAAGGGAGTGGGGGTGGGGGGGAAGCAGCGCATTCCTGAAATGCTTCAGATAATTGCTAGGCAGCCGAAGATGTTGGCACGCAAGATGATTACTGGAGAGGACGTCTGATGACTTTTGGCTATGGATGTGTCCCATTGGAGAATATACAACCAGGGGATGGCGGGGAAAACCAGGGTCAAGGGGGAAATGAATGAAGTATTTTAGTGTCGGTTGCACCCAGCTAACGCCAACATGGCCACTTCTAATCTTTTTTTTTTCCTCTGAGAGATGCGGCTAGAGACTTCCAATTTGAATGGGGTAGAATTGTCGGAGCCCTGACACACTGCAGGCAGAGACACATCTCTACCAGAACTGACCCCTTGTAAGGATTAGAATAGCCCTTAATGACAAAAGAAAACCTGCTTTTTCCTTCTTTCGAAGAATCCTGTAGCGTCATCACAATTTCAACCCTCTACACGACACGAAGGAAAGCAGGACTGACCAAGTGACTTGACGCCGCCCCCCACCCACCCCCGTGTCCATAAAGTTGAAATTAAAAAAAATAAATCACCATTTTTACCTGCCCTCCTTGTGTGTAGCCTAGAGAAGGGGGTCCATAGTCGTTAATCAGGTGTCGGTACTGCCCCGAGCCCGCCATGCTGCTGGAAGGAGAATGCGCTTAGGGGAGAAAGAAATGCAACGGATAAGACTGGATCCCCAAAGAAGGGAAAAAGGTTATCAGAGAAAATGCATTCTTGGTTCAACAGCGTTACCTACTGCTTAACAGCGACACGAAATGGCAGCCTTAAGTCGGGAAATAAATACAAACGCTTCCTTTTTTCGTCTCGGCAAAGGAAACTTTCTCCCTCTTTGCATGGCTTTTCCTTGTTCTCCCAGCTGCGAAATATTAAAAACTGGCCATTTTCTTGTAACGCTGGCAGGATTTTGCAAGCTCAGAGTCGCTGCTCGGAAGTGGGCAGCCCCAGAAATCCTAAATAAACCCCCCCCATGCAAACGGATAACAGGATCGGGCTTCAGAATAATCAAAATTATGTTAGACTCCCCGGCTCAGGGAAAAAAAAAACCCACAAATCTACATCTGGGAAACGGGCAATGAAACTCCTTCAGGCGCAGGAGAATATCAGGGTCCGGCATTGCAGAAAAGACACCAAATTTTCTTTCTTTTGGCGGGCGGTTGAGTATATTTACATTAAAGTTGGCCACCAAACACATCGACTTATTCCCTTAAAGCCTCTGCAGCAGCTCACTTGGTATAATACGGGCTCCAATCCAAAGCACGCCAAACACAGGGTGATTTACCACACGTGTGAAGTGGCTGTTTGGTGGTTTTATAAAAATATAAGGGGATTATGGGTCCATTCCGAAGCCCAACTTCACCTGCCTGCCTTCTCTAGGGAGGATGAGCCCTCCACGAGACCCATCTCGCCCTAGAGGCTGGCTCCGTATCTCGAGGCTGTGCCACCTAACCCTCTTCTCTAACCGCCCCCAAACCACGATCGGGGGTCCCTTTACCTGCTCCTTGGCCCTCAAACACGTAGTAGGACATAACCTCCGGCAGCCAGAACCTCCTCTGCCGGCAGCAGGCCCCCAGGAACAAAAGGAGAGGAGGGGGGGGGCTCGGATTTGGCTGCGCCACCGTCCCCCCCCTTCAAACGCAATGCAGATGGCCGCCGTTTGCAGCCGTGCCAGCTTCGCCCAGCTGGAGGGTGAGGGTGGGTGGTGGAAGGAAAGACACACAATGCCAGGCTGGCTTGGAAACGGGAAGCCTTCGCCGAAGGACATCCAGAGCTCATTTAGCTGAGCCCGGACGCTGGGAGGGAAACATCGCAGAGAGCTGGAAAGAGATTCGGGGCAGCGGATCAACCGATTCGGTCGCAGGGGATCTCTTCCCCCTTCTGGGTAGGATCCGTTTCAGGGCCCCCAGAACCAGCCTAGCCTAGTTCTGTATGGGCTCAGAACTCCGCTGTTTGGAAATAAGGGAATACAAAGGCCACCAGTGCCATAGACCCTGCCTGGCACCTGGCCACAAGGATGGGCGATGCCAGCTTAAACATTGGGTGCATTCAGCTTCTAGCCTCCTTTGTCTGCCTGGCTGGCCTTGAGCCAGGGTGCCAGAGTGTGCCCTGTTCACAAAGCAGGCAGAGAAGCTACGATGGAGAGGACGGATACTCAACGTCCCTCTTTCCATCCCCTCAAAAACACCCTACGGAAGAAACAATATGCGCCTTTAAAAACAAATACAAATAAAAAGAATAAGGACATGAATAATGGGCCCTTGGTTACGACTTGGGTTGTTAAGTGTTTACCAGTCTCGGACTGTGAATCGAAGATTAAATCAATACTATTACTACTAATAATAACCAAAGGGCTGCCTGGATGCATGGAAAATTTGGACTTATTAGACCTGAATATCCCAACTTTGCCCCCACCCCAAAACAAACAAACAAACAAACAAACAACACCCCGCCTTACTTGGAACTGCTAAGAAAGAGGCTGCTTTAATAGGTCTTAGATCTTCGGTTAGGACCAGAATTGTTACGTGTTTTTTTTTTCCCAGTCCCAGACCGTGAATCAAATTCAAGATTAAATCTATAAGAATAATGACTAGGAATAGGAAAGAATAAGAAAATGAATAAGAATAAGAAAATGAGAACGAGAAGGCAGCTGGGGTTAAACAGGAATCAGCCCACGCATCTGAAGGAAGATCCTTCTAGATGGTTTTTTTATCCTTTTTTCTTTTGCGTTAAGGACAATCCTCATGTCTTGGAAAGGAAGCGAAGTGGATTTTGGAGGCAGACTGAGTCATCCTTTCAATGTGGCAGATGGCTGGCTCGGGCGGCCTTCCTCCCATTTCGAAGCCCATCCAAAACTACACACACACACACACACACACACACACACACACCAAAAAGGCAGGAAAAAAAGGGAATCTTTTGGGAGCGGGGTAGAACCCTGCCATTCCTGGGCCAGATGTAAAGGAACAGCTGCAGACTTCAAAATCTAAGCCCTGCTGGCTTGGACACTTTTGAAAGTCCCCCAGGCTCTAGCCTTTATTTTTATTTTTAGCTGAATTTTCTCAGGGTCATCAGATTTTATTTCCCCCTCCCCCCAGGGTGCCTTTGAAATTTCCCACCCGTAAAAAACGCAAGGGAGCTGAATGCAGGGATTTCGAGCATCCTTGAAACCCAAACCTCTGTAATAAAACAGTCAGAGAGATGTGCTTTGGGGAGGTGGGCATAACCCTGGGGGGGAGGGGGGGCATAGCCCCCAGGCACGGATTTTCAGGGGGCCTTTGCAAGCTGTCCCTCTGAAAAGGTACCGAGGATGCTGGTTTAGGCATTAAGCAAGTCATTATTGGCTTAACCATAGTTTACTGGATAAATCACAGCTGGCTGGGTGCACAGAACATCCATTAATCACCCTCCCAAACCCCTACAGCTTGACAACTTTAAAATGCTGGCTGGGGAATGCTGGGAGTTGAAGGCCACAAATTTTAAAGCTGATAAGTTTGAAAAAAAAAAATCCTATTGGTTTAGCCTATGGAATGAACCAAAGTGCTGCCCATTAACCAGCTTACCCAAACCTAAGTTAGAAACCAAACTTTAGAAGAAGACCTGAATGATTTTAGAAAAGGGTTTTTGCAAGCACTGTTTTTAAACATCTCTTCCTTCAAACACGGCCCTGTAAAGTTATCCCCTCCTGGTTTTTAACAGAGTTTTATTACAAGAAACTTTTAACTCAGCTTTCTGAGGTTGAGACTACAATACCTGTTCTATTCTTGGTATAGTGGGTGGGTGGAGATAGATAGATAGATAGATAGATGGATGGATGGATGGATGGATGGATGGATGGATAGATAGATAGATAGATAGATAGATAGATAGATAGAGGCGGGCAGGCGGGCATAGATGAGAGAGAATATATATTGATAGATTATAGATGACAGAGATGATAAAGATATATTGATACATGATAGATAACAGATAGAAGATATAGATAGATATACAGAAGAGAAAGACATAGAGAAGAAAGGTGAGATAGAAAAGATAAACAGAAAGATAAAAGAAAGAGAGAGAGAAATAGAGAGAGAAGCATATAGATGATAAGATTGACTAATTGATGGATAATTGATAGACTAGCTAGCTAGAACAGGGTTTCTCTAGGCATCCTGCCTCTACCTCTGTATGACTGAAGTGACATGGATGTACTGGTGATGGAGACACACAGGGACTACAACACCCAGAATCCCTGGCAGGCATTGGAAGCCTAGTGCCCAACTTATCTAAAGGGAGATACCCAAGCCATCTTGGTTAGGGTCATAGGTCAGGGGAGGAGGATGGTGAGTGAAGATAAACCCCCCCTCCAAAAAAAACCTAATAAAAGTACACACTTTTGCAGAGGAGGGGGTCAGTTCACGGGTGGAGGGGGGTCTGGGAGGGAAAGGAGGGGAGGGGGCTTTGGAAACCTTTTGGGTTCTTAGGGAGGAAACTTTCCGGGCAGGATCCACACTCTTTAAGAGTGGGGGGGGAGAACCCCCTCCTCAATTGGAAGTCTTCTCCTGCCTGGGGGCAAAGCCCACCAGAGGCTCCATCCAGGCTCCTTTGGGGGAGAAAGACCCCCCCCCCAGCCACCACCACCCCGGAGAGAGCCCAGCGCCGGGTCTCTGAGCACGTGCAAAGTTGGGTTGGGGAGGGGGCGAAGGTCCCTTGCTCTGCCCTCCCCCTCCCCCTCCTCTTCTTCCTCCTCCAGCCCCTCCCTCTCCTTCCCCCCCCTCCCCCTCTGCCTTGTGCCCGGCCGAGGCCAGGCCAGGCCAGGCTCGGCTCCCCCGTCCCTCCCTCCCTCCCTCCGAATCAAGACCCCCCCCTTCCCCAATATCCTCCCCCACCCCGGCGCCCCCCCACCCCGACTCGCCCAGGCCGGGCGGGGGAAGCGTCTCGGGGCGCCATCCAAAGTTTGCAAGCGCACAAAGGCGGCGCGGGGTGGGCTGCAGACCCCCCCTCCCCCCAGCGCGACCCTCCCCTTCTTCCAGCCGGGGAGGGGGGCGGT